GAAGCTTTGGGAACGGTCTGCAGATTTTTGGCACGCTCGGACTCTGCATGTAGTTGAGTCTTCATTTAGCAGCCTGCCACGTTTCCTACTGATCTTGGGGCTGTCTGTGGACTTGAATTAGTGGCCTGCTGTGTTGTTTAGTAATATTGGGACTGTACCATTCATTTTATTTGTCGACCTTGGGCTTGTTAGCCTTAGCAGACAGCAGCTGCCTGAGTGAAGAGATACCTCTGGCTCCAGTGGGCCAGGAACAGGAGGCAGAGCTGAAGCCCAAGGTCAAGGGGCTTTGACCTAGCCCCTAGAGCCTGGCACTTTGAACTCAGACTTCTAGCCTTTGGAACTGTAAGAGAATAAACTCCTATTTGTTAAAGTCATCCCATTTGTGGTATCTTCTGTTAGAGCGGCATGAAGTAACCAGAACAGGGATGTACCAGCTACCTCATAGAGCCAAAGACTGAATACACAAAATAAGCAAATACATACACAGTAAATGCCTAATGAGCGTTAGCTGTCACTCCCATGGTGAGCTTCCTAATCATCTCACCGGCTGTCAGGACAAGCCTTTGAGAAACTGGCCCCGTCATACTTGCTCTGGGTGCTCTGAGAGAGAAATGGTCCAGGGCAGTATAGAACAAGAGTTATACCTTCATCCATCTGCTTTAGTCTCTCAGAGATGAGCAAGTTCTAACCCCCTCTGGCTGGGTCTAGAGCAAATGATGACAAACAACAGCCCTGGAGCTAGACACTGCCAAGTTCAAATCCCAACTACACTGCTGTGTGACGTTGGGCCAGTTTCTTAACCTCTCTGAACCTTGGTTTCTTCCTCTATAAAAGGGAGAGAGAAGAGTGCTTTCCTCCTAGGGTTTTTCTGAGAATGAAATGAGATAAAGCACAGTGCCCGACACCCAGCAAGTGCTAAGTAAGTGCTAAGTGCTCAGCTAGTGTGAGCTGGAACTGTTTTTAAAGCAAAAGTTGTGGCTTCCTGAATCCAGGGTCCTCTGTAAACACCAGCAGGGTGTCCCTTGTCACAGCTCCCACTCCACATATGCTGGGTTAAAGATGTGGCATATGTCAAAGGAACGTGGCTTAAACCCATCTTGAGGTTTCATTTTACCCATATATTAAATTGGTACAAAAATGGAAAACTGGAGCTTGCATGTATGGCTGGTTGCCACACAAATGGTCCAAACCTTTTGGAAAGTGGTTCTTGGCCACGGTCATAAAAAGTCAATATCCTCTGGCCCAGTAATACCACTCCTGGGAGTTCAGCCTAGAGAAACAACTCGACAGACTCAAAGAGGAGGAAAAAAAAAAAAAAAAAACTATCTGTATGAAATTAATCCTGTGATGAGCATCGAGAAGAGGAAGTAGGAACAACTTACATCTCCATCAGGCGGAGGCAGGCCAAGTGACCAATGGATGGGGGAGCCAGAGATGAATTCCAGGGAACTATGGCAACATGAGAACAGTACTTACCGAAACTGTAACAATGTCTGGATTCGGACAAGGGCTGACAGGGGGCTGCACAAAGGGGTAAAGGAAAACCAAACTAAACCCGCTGCCGTGGAGTCATCTCTGACTCACGGCAACCCTGTGTAGTACAGGTCAGAACCACCCCATAGAGTTCCCTTGGCTGCAATCTTTCTGGAAGCAGACTGCCAGGCGTGTCTTCTGCAGTGCTGCTGGGTGAGTTTGAACTATCAACCTTGAGGTTAGCAGTCAGATGAACCATTTGTGTCACCCAGGGACCAGTCAAAAAGGATAACAAGGTGGTGGAATTAAATACGATTTCCCTCCAAAAACCTCTGGACTTTTTTTCAATGAACAATAACAACAGAATCATAGAAAAGAAAACACAAACAATTTCTTCCTAAGCCCTGGAATGTGGCTCCCACTTGAGGCCTGGGGGGGATGGGACCAACCAGCCAGACCGACCCTTCCTTTTGTACTCTCAGTGGGGAGGAGGAGGGGGATTCAGAGCCATGCAGGCAGGGATGGAGGTGGGGAGGTGCTGAGGATTATGGGAGCAAGAGAGGGAACAGAGTATGATCACAGAGGGCTTCCAGGAAGAGGTGTCCTCAAAGCAGATTCTTCAATGAAGAGCAGGGATGCATTGGGGGTGATCTAAGGCAGAGGCAAAAAAGACCTGGGAGGTGGATCTGGAGAGCTGGGCTAGATCCAACTTGGCAGCACGGCAGCAGACTGAGGACTTCACACCAAAGACCTTTCCACCAGGGAGCCCCATGGAGGGACTTGAGGATCCCTGGGGCTGCCCGGAAGAGGACACATGGAGGAGTGCCCTGGAAGTGGGAGACCAGTGAGAAGGCTGATGCGAGCACCCACAGAGAGATAAGGACAACAGGAACTAAGAGGGGGAGGGAGAAGCCAAGGATGGCTCCAGGTTTACACCTGAGAAGTGGGTTTGGGGGTTGCTGAGTTCAGGCAGGAACACAGCGAGGTTAGAGGATAAGACGTCCAGGATCTCAGCTCGACCTACCGACCTGGAGCCCTGGAGGGCAGTCTGGGCTGGAGGGGCACAGTGGAGTGAGCTGTTGGAAGCTCTGGGGTGGCTAAGTTTGCCCATGGACAGTGAGAGGGCCATCAGAAGGGGTGCAAAGGTTAGAAAACCCCGTAAGGAGCCAAAAAGCAATATTCAGAGAGCAAGGTGGAAAGGCTGGTGCCAAAGCCAAGGGCATGGAGACTTGGAGAAGGAGGGAGTAATCCGAGGGGTTAGATGCCTGCGAGAGATCCAAGACTAGGATGGAAAGTCCTCACCTAATTTAGCAACGTTGGTGACTGCAACAGGAGTATGGTCAGTGTGTCATGGTGGGAGAGGGAGCGGGTGCTGAGGAAGGGACCCTGGGAATCTGAGGGCTTCCTTGTGATGATACTGGATGAGAAGAGAGAGGAGAAACTGGACAGGGGCTAGAGGAAGCATTAGGTCCGGCTGACCCCAGAGGTCTGACCCCAAGTCTGTCCAGCTCCAGAGGCCAGCCCTTCCCAAAGCCCCTCAGGCTGGCTCCAAAGGCAGCCCCCTACCTCTCTCTCTCCACATCCACCGCACTCAGAAAGCAGGAGGCTGTGTCCGTGGAGGAAGCCAGGGTTCCCCCAACCAGGAAGCTGACCTGGTGCCAAAGGCCAGCCGTGAGGATCTCCTGCCAACCTCAGCCAGCTAACCAGAGGGGCGTCCACTCTGCCAACTGCCGCAGGTGCTGGGGGAACAGGTCCAGGGCAAGCCCAGCCTGCCAGTCCCAGACACGGGGCAGCACCTGTGCCATCTGTGGTGGGGGGGTGCTACGGCAGGAAAGAAGGAAGTTTACAGAAAATGAAGTCTTCCCCCCCCACATTTTTATAATCTGTTTCCTAAAAGGAGTATTTGTTCCCATTTTGTTTTTTGACTGTATTTAAAAAGAAACTAACCTCAGTAATATTATACTTACTGATAAAAATAGTAATTACTCAAATGGACTGAGAGCTAACTGTGCCAGGCACTGTTTCAAAACCTTCTGAGATGAACTTACAAAATCCTAACATGTCAATAAAGCAGGTGCTGTTATTATCCCCATTTTACGGGTGAAGAAACTGAGGCTCCCCACTCCCTGCTCATTTTCGGTGATTATGTTCCTGCTCTTGGGTCTCTCATTCTAGATACCCCCGCAGAGCTGGCACGGGGGACAAAGGGTGCTGGCCTGGCAGACAAGACCCTGGGGCATCCTTCCTGCCATTCACTAGAACTGTGACCTTAGTGGGGGTCTCTGAGCCCTGTCTTTTCATCTGTGAGGTGGCTGACTGTGATGGTCACCTGGTTGCCACTGTGACACCTTGTGGAGTTGGTACCCACACCAGCACAGACTCCTGGCAGGGCCATGGGCCAAGAGCATCCCCTGTGTTGCTGCTATGCCAGGGATGGGGGGGGGGGTCTCCTGCATTCGCTTCCTCCCTCTGCTCTGCCACCTGAGCTGTTTGCGGGAGGTCACAGAGGGGTAGTTCCTCCAAAGGCCTCTATCTCCACCCTCTTTCCTCAGATCCAGTGTGCATGTTCGTTAAGCCCTCAAAGCATGCTAGTCCTCTTCCTGGGGTCTGGAAATCAGTGATGGCTGGGGGTGGTCAGTGTCTCCAATTGTCTATTCTGCCTAGTCTGACTGTCTAGCTGCCCCTCTGGGAAACCCCAAATAGCTTCTCACCAGGAAGAAGGGGTCACACCTCTCCAAAGAACAACTCCCCCTGCAGGGCCTCATGCCCTGGAGGAGCCTGAGCCACGACACCAGGAAGATGTGAGCAGAGGAGGAAAACCAGGTGGGGCCCCCTCTACCCAGCCCAGAGCTGGAGACTTCCGGGTATCGGTGGCTGGGGGTGCATGTGCGCTCCGGCTGGCTCCGGCTGGCTCCGGCTGTCGGTCTGAGGTGGGCTGGGGAGTAGGGGATAGGTGAGGGGCACCTCGGTTTGGCTTAGGGGCCCTTTCTTCTCATGCTCTTAGGCATGTGCAGGGGATTGAAGTCTGTTGGATAGCGCGTCCTCTCTCAGGACCATAGAGAGTGAGTATGGAGCTGGTGCCGCTTTGGAGGTGATGGAAGAATAAAACGAAAACTCATCTAATTAACACTTAGGTCGTGCCAAGCATTTTCCCGTCTTATCAATTGATCGAAATCAACCCCCAATACAAGTGAATACTGTTACACCCATTTTACCGATGCAGACACTGAGGCTCGGAGCCTGGAGAGGAGAAAGGAACGGAATAAGCCTTTCTCAGGTGTCCTCTGCGCCTCCCACTGGGCCAGATGCTTCTCTGCGTCCCCTCCCGTTACCTTCTGGTCTTGCCCGCGAGAAGGAACGCTTATCCCAGTAACACGAATGGGACACGCGAGGCTCGGAGACTCGCGGGCACCTCCCCAGGGTCCCGCAGCTCCGGGTCGGCCGCCCAGCACCCGAACCACTGCGAGCGCGGCCGCCGCCCGGGCGCCCCTCCCACCCGGCTCCCCGACGGCGCGGGCGGCGCTCACCTCGATGCGATCGATGCGGTCCCGGAGGGCGCGCACGGCGTCCTCCAGCTCCAGCACGAGTGCGGGTGAGTCCCAGGACCCGTCGGCCATGGTGTCGCGCCGGGGCCCGGCGTCCTGGAGGCCGCGTGGCAGGCCGCTCTCGCAGCGGCCCAGCTTGCCCGTGAGCTCGCGGATGGTGTCCTGGTCGGCGCGGATGCGCGCCTCCTGCTGCAGCGCCGTCTGGCGCAGCTGCTCGGCGGTGCTCTGCAGCAGCAGCAGCTCTTCGCGCTCGCCGCCCGCCGCGTCGCCCTGCTCGGCCCCCGACGGGCAG